GCGGGCAGGTGCGGGGTGTCCACCCCAGCGCACGTTGGAATGGGTGCTCCCTCAGCCCCGGGCCGGGCTGCTCGCGCCACTGCCTGCTCTGGGGACCTGAGGCGCCCCGAAGCTCCCTCCGCTGGATATGCCGCCGGCCACAGACACGTCCCAGCAGCCGGACCCTCAGCCCTGAAATCGTCCCCGCCCTGCCGCGAACCCACCTTCCCGGGGCACCCGGAGGCCCCTTCCAAGGGTGTCACCCAGGTCCCCGCCTCCTCCTTTCGACGCGGGCTCCGCGCCCGGCAGCCTCTGGCCCCAGCTTCGGGGCTGAGCCGGCTTCTGCCTCCCTTTCTCTCTTGCTCCTGTGAATTCTCAGCACTATTCTTTTTTTTTAAGGGACTTTTTTTTTTTGCGTTGCGTCAGGGCGGTTGCCTGGCGACGGCGGAGCTATTCCACCGCGAGCCCTTTCAGGCGCGATCCCCTCCAGCCTCTCATTCAAGCCTCTCCGCCCGCGGCTCCGGGGACCGGGACGCGCCGGGGCCGGGAGACCCGCGCCGGGTCCTAAAGCCCTCCCGGCGGCTCGTTCCCGGCCGGGACCTGAACCCGAGCAGCCGCCCCGCCGCAAGCAGAAGCAAACTACACGCGATGGCCAACCCCTAGACGAAACCAAACCCAAACAGATTAAAAAAAAAACAAACCCGAAACCAAGGCAGTTTCCCCCCAAGCATGGCAACGTGGCTTTGCCACTGTCAGCAGTTTGCCTGCGCGGAGGGGGCTGGAGAACCCCCTTCCAGCGGGTGGGCAAGCCCGGAGCCTACACTCCACCCACCAGCGGTTTGAGTTCCAGCTACCAGCTGGCAACGCCCGGACCCAGTGCCTAGCACGTGCCACCCCTTTACAGCCACTGGGCAGGGCAGATGTGGGCATCTCCAGCTCACAGATGAGGAAACTGAGGCTCAGAGAGGCTAAGGAGAAACAGACCTTCTCCCAGATCTGTCTCCCAGGCCGGCTGGGCGTAGTCCAGAGAAGCCTGCCCCAGAGCATGTGTTTCCCCCACTAAGAACAGCTTGCCTCGGGGCATAGAATACCTTGTACTGTGTCGACCGCTGGAGAGCTGCATTCTACGATCCTGTCCAAGGATCCAGGCACCATGACACACACAGGACAGCAGCCACAGCTGTCCCAGCCTGGGCTTTAGGATAGGTCCTGACTGCGGATGGGGGACTCCAGTCCAGGTCATGTTGGGAGGTGGGGTTGGGTCTGCCTTCTCCTGGGACCTCCCACCCCAGGGCTGATTACTGGAAGTTAGCCTCACTCTCAGGGCAAGCTAGACACGGCCAAGTTCTTTGCCTAGACTCTTGGGGTTTGCGGGGGTCCTTCAAAGTTACCTAATCTGTCATCCTCACAACAGCACTGGGGACGCAGGGCAGGTGTCATTATTTCCAGGACAGATGTACACACTGAGGCGTGGGGCTGCAAAGTGACTTGACCCCAGGTGGCTGGCCTTGTTTTCTGTGGGACTCAGCCCCCAAGATGCTCGAGACCCTTGTGCTGTCCCCTGGCGTCTGCATCCTTCACTGCAACTCCCCATCCGGGCGGTCCCACTTCCTTCCTTCCCCACTTCACTAGGACATCCGCTAAGGGACTTTATCTAAGGAGACATCCGCTAATGGGAACACCTCTTCATGCCAACGGGCTGATGCTTCTAAACCAGCAGGTGTACTTGAGCAGGGCTTTTCTGGAGAGTCACGGTATCGACCCAGTCCCTTGACCCCAGCTCCTAAATACGGATCCAGTCTCCCCACTTCTTCCCATCCCCTCTGCCACTGTCCTGGCCCGTGTCAGCTGCCCCAACTCCAGCAACAGCCCCTGCCCGCTGCCCTGCACCCACTCCTGGCTCCCCACCCCTTCGCCTGAGCCAGCTCTTCCTCCACAGCCAGAGCAAACTCTGCAAAATGGAAATCTGATCCTGGCTTCCCCCTGCTTACCGCCCCCTAGCCGCTCCCATCCCTCCCAGGATCAAAACCCGGCCTGGCCGCCGGGCCTGTGTGGTCTGGCTGTGTCTGCCTCTTGGGCCTGGTGTCGCCCAACACTCTGTTCTCCAGACGCTCCTCCCACATGTGGGGGAGGGGCTGCACTTCTGCCTCCTGAGGGAACCCCAGGTGACACGTCCCCATTGCCCCACCTACCTCTCCCTCGTGGACCAGTTGTCATTTTATCTTTATTTGTGAGCTTATTGGATTAGTGTCTGTCTCTTCTAAGACTGTAGGCTCTGCGGGGCAGGAATCATGTCTGCCGGCAGAAGACTTGGTCCCGACTCGGGGAGCTGGCTGGCCCTGGCCATGCGACCCTGGGCTGAACACTCAGGCTTTGCCCCACCACTCACTAGTGTAGTCCGGCCCCAGCGTGTGTCTTCTTGGTGCAGCCGTCCCACCCCATCTGGAAATGCTTTCTCCCGTCTTCACCTTCCCAGCCCCTCCTTTGGTACAGAGCTCCTGTTTCTTGTGGGGACATTATCTTCTGTCGTCACACAGACAGGCAGCCTGTCCAGGGCACGGATGGGGTCTTCCTCTCATGCCCCCCATTCTGCCTGGACGGGAGGGTGGTCAGTGATGAGGACCAGGAGGGTCAGGGAGGGAGGGATGAGGAAGAGGAGGAAGAAGAGCCTGGTCTCTGTTGGAACCGACTCGACTCTCATGTCTAACCACATGCAGGGGTCTAATGAGTTACAGTTAGAGCTCCAGCTTCAGCTAGTGTGTGGCCACGCAAATAATATTCTCAAAAAAATATCTGATGACATAGGAAGATGCTAATGATTTCAGGCTCAGTAAATAAGACTGGAACACCAAATGTCTGAGTAAATAAGGCATTATGAAACCTTTAATTCTAATACTTAGTATCTAATTCTTTAATCTGTATGGAAAAATATGTGGAGTGTATATTCAAATATTAGCTGTGGTGATCTCTGGGTGGTAGGATAACAGAGGATTTAAAATTTCCTCTATAGGCTTGTATTAATTTTCTACGTTTTCGACAATGAGTAGTTTTTGCAATAAGCAACCTCAAGAAACACTACCATAATGAGAAGATGGCCTGTGTTTGGGTACGTACCTGAGGTCTCCTGCTCTGTTTGGAGCTGCCTTTTATGTGTGGTGCTGTGAGGCCGGACTGGAGCGCGGGGCGGCGGGGCCACCCGGGGGCTCTTCCCCTCCAGTTGGCCCTTTGGACCCCAGAACATTGGGCCGAGCCCAGGAGAGTGAGTCTGGACTTGGCAACAGCACACTGATTCGAGAGCTGCCTTTTGGCTCAGTCCTGTGGATCCAACTTGACTTTCAAGAGGCAAGATGAGGAAGATGATGTCTCTTCTGATCCTACAGGAGTCCTGTGCAAGAGAGGAACCTGGACAGAGCCTCCCTGTCCTACTTGGGAGGACACCAAACGTGGAGAGGTTAGACCCAGCCGGTCTGACCCCGAGCTAGGGCACTTTGTTCTGCGTCGCACTGACCCCGTCGCCCCTCCAAGCAGTGGGCAAGGCAGCCTTAGTGACCACAATGTGCTCAGTCCAAGCGCAGTGGCCAGGGATGGCCTCATGAATAGGGTGGCTTTGGAGCAAAGATTTGAAGGAGAGGTGGGAGCTGGTCATGAGGTACTGGGGGGAAGGGTGTCCAGGCAGAGGGAACAGCCAGTGCGAAGGCACCTTGGGAGCACACACGCCTGAGACAATCAAGGAAGAGCAAGGGGGCCTCGCACTGGAGTGCACTGAGCAGGGGGGTAACGACCATGGGGGAAGATGACGCCGAGAGGTGACCAGGCACAGGTGCTGGTCAGGTGCCCTGGGCCTGGCAGACCGTGGTAAGGACTCACCCTTCCCCAGGGAATGCAGAGAATGCACAGCTGGTGGGGGGTGTCTCTGCTGCTGTCGCTCCCACCACACAACGCACTCTCTAAATTAGTCTCACCTGTTCCCACCGGAGTTTTTAAGCTACTCAGGGACAAACTCCTTTGTCTCAATCTCCTGTGAATCCCTCCTGGTGATTAAAATGTGGTCCCTATTCATTAAATGAGAGAAGGAAGGAAAGAAGCAATCTCTGTTTGGCCTTATTTCCGGAAGGCACGGAGGGTGGTGACTTCCTCCCCCACTCCAGGGAGCAGTGAGAACTCGCAGGCCCGGGTCAGAGTCCGCTAGCTTTCACCATCTGCCTTTAGCAGGGACTTTTCCATCATGAGCCCAGCATTTCAAGAGGATCCAGGAAGTGTTTGTCATCCGGAGGCGTTGATGCTGGCAATGGTAATGGCTCTTTGCTGCCTTATCTCTCAGGAGGAGCTGATTCAGGCTGAAGCCCAGAAGGGAGATGGGGACCAGTTTCCCATCCTGTGGGGAACCCATTAGTTCAACGAGCATTTATGGGCAGTTCGCTCTGTACCAGCCGGTGTGAAGTGTCAGGGTGCGGCACCTGCAGCTTACTGGTGCAGGAAGATCATTAACAAAGCACCCCCCTTAGAACTGGAGGTGAGGCGGTGACATATGCCATCTAAGCCCAGCAGGACGAGAGAGTTGGCTGGGAGAGGTGGCCCGGAGGCCCGGCACGGAGCAGGGTAGGGAAGGCATTTGCAAGAGTGAGTACAGGCCCCAAGGGGCTTGACCGCAGCCAAGGTAAAGAGTGTAAGAGGGTAGATGGGTCAGGTGAGGTCTCTGGATGTGATCCTGAAGGCGGCCGGTTAAGAAGGATGCGTGTCATGGCTTTGGTGTCTTAGAACATCTGGATGGATGAGGGGGCAAGACAGGAGGCCAGGAGACGGATACAGAGATTGTGTCCATCTTACCAGAGGTGAGAGGAAGGCCAGCCCCCTGCAGGGAGTGGCTCACTGCACTTCCCAGGTGTTGCCGGACAAGCGTGGGAAAGGGGCACAGCGGGGCAGCTGGAGCAGCCTGGCTCAGGTTCCAGCCCTGGCTCTTCTGTTACTGGTATGTGTCTGTAAGAAGTCACTCCAGTCTTCTGAGCTGCAGGTACACCATCCATAAAAGGAACTCATGGTAGTAGTGCTGTCCTGAGACACGGGCAAGAGCGCTTGCCTGGGACCCCATGCTTTAGACAGCCCTGCTCGGGGTCTCCTCCAGGTACAGTGGCCATGGGGCCAGAGGCCACGCCCACTCCAAGTCCACTCCTTCCCTGCTCTGTGCTCTAAGAACCAGGATCCATGACCCCCAGGCCCACATTCGGGCCAGCGCAGGCCTCTTTCCTGGTCTCTGGAGCACGAGTGAAGGCTGGACTCTCAGGATGGGGCTTCCCCTGTGTGAGCACAAGGGCCCTTCTGTGGGAGAAGAAAGAAGGCAGGCCACGGGTGGGGCCAAGGCCGTACCCTCCCACCTGTGGCATTCCAGGCATCCAGGGATTTGGAAGTGGAATCTACCTTTGAGGTTTTTATAAAGATGCGTTTGTCTAGCCCAGCGGGAAGAACAAGCACTGTCGGACAGTTTGATAGCTTGGTTTACAACTCTCAGCCAGTTGGACGCATGGGATGTGGGCCTCCATTTGTGCGCTGGCTTTGGATCTCTCGAATGTTAGGGGTGGGCCT